CAGGTTTAACAGAGAGTTAACTTTCTAGCCAGCCATGATTTGTAAGAGAGCTTAAAGGTGGCAGAGAAAATCCTTCTCTTAGATTCAGCAGCTTTCACTAATCAGCTGGGTCTCTGGGTGTCGGTGCTTGGCTGACTGCTGGTAATTTTTTTCCTCCATCTCCTGCTCCTGTTAGGGAGCCTGGGGCCCAGGAGACCCCAGGCAGGGTTAGTCTTCCACAAAGAGAAGAGCCCGATCCCAGCATCCAGAGCACAAGAGCCTGTAAATCAAACTGTTAGCTTAATAGCGTGGACCATTATTCTAGAGCATTGGGGCTGAAACCAAAAGCCAAATGGAAATGCCGTCAATTTGTTCATACTTTGGTGGCTGAACGACTATGTAATGTGGGGATCGGCCAGCAGCCACGGGAGGGGCGGAGTGCGCGGTGCAGGGGAGGCCGCCAGGTGCGTGGGCAACCCTCTTCCGGGAGGAAAAGCGAGTCTCCAGCGATAGCATGGACTTGGCCACGCAGAGAGCCTCGGGAAGCCAGAAGTCTCCACTCCTGGGGACACGCTGGCCATCGGCCTTTGTGTCTGATGGAAAGTGAATATGAGAATCCAGCCTCTGCCAGCGGTGACAGAAAACAGGGTTCCAAGGAGGCGTGACCATGGGGAAACACCTGGGAAGAATTTGGAGTCTTCATCCGCAAAAAACATTTAAAAAAAAATAGCCTGACTAGTTTTATGCAAGTGACTTGTCCTTGGTTCAAAATTCAAAGCCTGCAGAACACAGCATCAGAGAAAGAAACCACCTCACCCCCTCACCACAGCTACCATGTGGGGGACTCTCCTTCTGGACGTCGTGGTGCTGTGCAGACACAGGGTCATACGGGTGTCCTGTCCAGGGGGGCCGTGGGCCCAGGTTCTTTCCCCTGGGAATATTTAGTCAAGTGTCAATCAGTGCAGATCAGAGCCTGGATTCCTGGGGCTGTGTATGGTCCACTGTCTGTCTCTCAAGGGCACCCAAGCCATCTCTTCCTGGCCACCATCCAGCCTTGGAGAGCACTCACCCCTTGGCTTTGGGTAGAAGGAGAAACCAACTACTTTTCATGGCTTATTATTAGGTGGCCAGAGACCACGGAGTTCAGAAACAGTCATGGCCAAGAGCAAAAGGGACAATGGCAGTAACCACACCACTCCACGGGCCAAAGGAGAGAGCCCGCCCACATCCAGAGGTCAGGGCTACCATCATGGGAGCAGACCCACACCCAAACTAGGGCGGCCAGCCAAGGTTGTGCGTCTCGATCATTTCAGGCTGTACACTGTGCACCTGGGGCTGAGGCTGCTTCAGACGTCCCTGTCCATCCATCCACCTGTGCAGCTGCTGTCCATCCATGCCAGCACCCCACTGCAGCAGTGATGGTCTTTGTCTGGTTCGTAGGTCACCCTGTCATCAGTGTCAAGAGCAGGGTGGCAGCAACGGTGCTCAAGGAAGAGAGCTCTGAGTGAGGGTGGGAGGGAGCGAGCTGTCTCCCCCACGGTCCTCACTGCCAATCAGCTGCTCCTGACTGGCAGCTCAGCATGGGCCAGGTGCTCTGCTAAATGCTGAACACACATGCGCTCTCAGATCCTCCCAGCACCCCTGCCAGGGGAGCATCATGAGCTCCTTTTATGGAAGAGGAAGAGAGTTTAGCTAAAGCCACCCGCCAGGCCGTGGCAGGGTCACGTTTGACCTGGCCTGGCCGCACTCCCATACAGTCCCCTGCTCCCCTCCCGCCTCCCCCTGCCACAGCTCTGCCCTGTGGCCCCAGCACACCCTGCCAAAGGTGTGAGAGCCTCCTCCACTTGGTCGTGGGAGATGATGGACTCACGGCCGTTCCCCAGCTGGGGACCCGGGGGAGGGTGAGAGCGGTTCCCCTGGTGGTGCAGCCTGGGCCTGGGGTCTGCTCCTCGCCCAGCTTGGAACCCAGGGTCGTGGTTTAGAGGCTCTTCAAGGAACCCCCCTCCCTCCCACCTTTAGATGTGGAGGTTGAGGCTCCATGACCCAGGCCCCTCAGCACCGTGTGAATGTCCTGGCCGGGAGGCCCACCAGCTGCCACCAACCACCCCCCGGGGCGCCACCATGCTGTGGCAATTGCTGGGACAATTGGCAATCACAGGGACCAGAGCGGGCAGCCCTGCCTGCCTGAGACGCTGCAGGGCCCACGGAGCAGCCACACAGAGGACGTGTCCCTCCCCTCCTCGGCCCCTCTCCTCTCTCACCCTAAGTGGCCTGTGCAGTGCAGGATGGGGGTCCCCCGGCCCCTCTTGCAGCAGCCCCTCGTGGCCAGCTGAGGGAGCAGAGAGCAGCCTGGGCCATGCAGTGACCCGGCCCTGGGCGGCCGCCGCCCGGCCTGCTGCTTTTCCGTGTGAAAGGTGTTTAATTATTTCTGACAGAGTTCAGCCTCGACATCTGTTCGGGAGTGGGAGAGTCCATTTAGGTCATCCATCACCCTGACAGGTTCAACTTTTTTGGAAGCGCTGTTTCCCTTCATAATGGGGCCAGTGGGGGCGGCGCATCAGCAGCCCCGAGACCCAGACAAAGGCCCCAGAGTCCGGGTGTGACGCAGGCCGGCGGCCCCCACCTGACTGCTGAGCGGGCCTTCGGTCCAGACCAGGCGTGGTGGGAGGGCAGGGGGCAGCTGGGGAGGGTACGTCAGACCCCAGGGAGGCCTGAATGTCCTCGGTCATCCATTCACCTGTCCACTCGTTTGTTCATTCCACAGAACAAGTCCTTAGTGCCAGGCACCCTGCTGGGCTCTGGGGACACGATGCGGGGGGGGGGGACCCAAAGGTGGTTCTTCTGGGCTAACGTTTTGCTGGGGAAGATGAAAACATCACCCAGTTAATTAATTAGTTGCAAAGTTGTTAAGTGCCACCGTGGGAAGAAAGGCGTCCCGGGGGTGGAGAGAGAGAGACTGCTGGGCAGGGTGCAGTTGAAGGGCAGTCTCAGGAGGCCCAGGGTTAGGCAGCCCTGGACTGGACCCTGACACAGGTGAGCCTATTTCCACACCAGTGGGTTGGGGACAGGAAGGCTGTGGGTCAACATGTCAGCACCCAGTAATTACCTCCCCGACAGGGAGGGACTGCCTGTGACGTCCCACAGCAGCAGCACTCTGAGGGTCGGGGTCTCTGTTGGGCTGACCCCTGGGCACCACCCCACTCTGAGAGTCTTGCTCAAGCCCCCGATTCCTGCAGCCTCAGGCTCCGGGCTGATGGAGGGGGTGTCTGCGGCATTAGCAGGCAGAGTCCCACGAACATCCTCAGGAAGGAGGAAGAGCACGCACATAAAGCGGGGGCTGCATGTTACGTCTCATCGGTTCTGTGGCACAGTGGGGAGACTTGGATTCCAGGGTGAGGAGGGCACTGTGCTGCAGGGCGCGAGGCTTGTTCCAAGGAGGAAATGAAGTCGTCCTCAAAAATGGCCTCTCGCGATGCCTGGCACCGAGCAAAAGTCACCCCTCCAGGCTGGGCCGTGTGTTAGAGCAGCTTTCTACAGCCACCCAGAGGCTTGATCCTGAGACACCCCCGCTGCTGACCACAGGAGCATTTGTTTCCTGCGCATGAAGCCCCTGCCTGGGCCTGCGGGGCCTGGGCACAGGAGACAGCACCCCCGTGTGGAGTTCTCCATGGTACCTGGGCGGCTGGCCTTTTCCGAGCAGGGGAGGAGGGGGGGGAGACCTCCTGCATCATCCCGTGTCCATAGTGCTGGACTCTAATCAGAGGGGCCTAGAGGGGCCAGGAGTCCATGCTGTCCAGCAGAGCCTCTCGTGCCTGTGGATCCACTGGGGCAATATCCCCAGACACCTGCATCCCCACAGACACAGGGAACAGCAGAGAGGAAAGGCAAAGGACGGCCCTGGAGAGCAGAGGACTTGTTTTAAAGCTGGGACAGGAGAGAGAGAGAGAAATGAGAGGCAGGTGCACCGTGGAGGCCGCGGCGGGAGGTGCTCCTGGGAGTGGCGCAGCCGTGACTCCTGCCACGTCCAGAACAGTGCCTAGTCATGTTCTTTCCTTGACGTTTGCTGTGAGCGTGGGGCAGCCTGGGCTGACGGGCGGCAGGGCACATGGTCACTGACATATGCAGATGGAGGCCACATTAAGGGGGACAAAGCAGGTTTCCCGGCGGAACTCAGCAGCTTGCTGGCGTGCATCAGGCTCAGGAAGCCCACCACCCTCACGTCAGAACCGAAGTTACTGGGCTGCCAGCGGGCCAGCCAGGAGCACCGCCGCCGTGCACAGCTGTCTTCCTGGGGCCAGGCCAGTCCCTGGTGGCCTCCAGAGAGCCTCTCTCTGCCCACATTGAGCCTACACAGCCCCCTCCGTCCCGAAGCCACTGTTCCCCATTTGCATTTCCCTAGGTCTGCGGTGCCCCTGGCCCTCACACTGTTCCCCTGCTGAAGGCTGCTGAACAGGAGCCCTGTCTGGGAGCCACAGGGCCACAGGGCCACGTGAACACGGGTTCAGTTCTGAGGCCAGAGCTCACCGCCTCCTTGGACCCTTGACCAAGTCCATCTGGCCCGTGTGCACTTGCTCCCCTCCACACGGGAGGTCCAGCACTGGAGGGCAAGCAGCTGGGTCCTGGGCAGAGGACATGGAGCATCAGCAGTCCCATCCCTGGAGGCTTGGCCCTGACAGCATCTGCCCCGGGCAGGCAGACACCCAGGCTCTGCACCGAGAAGCCTGCCATCAACCCAAGGCCCTGCCACTTCCCCAAATCCACCATGTTTCCTGTCTGCAAAGCAGGCCTGATGGCAGAGACTTCCCTGGACAGGGCACGTGAGGGGTCTGAGCTAAGAGCATCTCCGAGCCTGGTGCTCAGGAAGTGCTCAAAGGACATCAGTCCTTGCAATTGCCATCGATAAGCCAATCGATGGTGAGAGGCCTGCAGAGCTCCTAGACCACAGGTGGAGACAGCAATGGGGTGAAGCGACTGGCAGCCAGCCCTGTGTGCAGGAAGGGGCGGGCGAAGGGGACACTGACCTTCTGGAAGTGGGGCATGTGCCAGAGGGCATCCAGCTTCACGGGCGGCTTGTATTTCCTCAGGTGATTGCTCCGGGTCTCATACAGCTTCCCCAGGATCACCTGCAGCCGGGGAGGTGCACAGGTGAGAAGCCTGGGCAAGGACAGGGCATGTGAGGGCAGAGCCTGGGGTTCTTTGTGGGCCACTTCCTCCTGGCCCTGGCCCTTCTCCAACTCACAGCATTGCCCCGCTGGCCCTGCCCTGGCTGCAGCTCAGCTGGCCCCGGGGAGGGACCGCAGGATGCCCTGGGCATGTCCTTCTGCTTGGCCCTGCAACACTGGAGGTTGTGGCGGTAGGTGGCTGGGAGGTGGGGTGGGTCCCATCCTCCTTGAAGCTGCCCAGTCCTTCCACAGGCTCCGTGGGTTACGCGACTTACCCAGCCATGCAACTTCCAGCGGTGGGAGAAGGACTGGCCTGGCCACCTGACTCCAGCACCAGCCCTGCCTTCCCCACGGCCCACCACTCTTTCCCCGCCTTCAATGTGGCTCCCGGGGAGGACCTGGTCGAGCCTTCTCGGCCTGGAGCTGAGCTTGCAGTAGTATGTCTGGGACGGTTGGCTGCTCCAGAAACCAAGCCGCAGACCGCCACTTCCCTGCTGCCAAGAGCTGTTCACGCTGTTTCTCAGGCGCAGGCACGAACCCTGGGGCCTGGCTAAAGTGACATTGAGAGCCTGGCAGCACCGAAAGCCTCCAGCGAGCAGGACCTGAGGAACCAGGAGCTGAGGAACCAGGACCTTAGAAGGGAGGGAGTGGCCAGCAGCTGCGACCTAGACTGTAAGTGTCCAGGAGTTCCACCTGGTCAGGTGTTCCGGGTGTGGATGTGCCACCAAGATGTGCGGTTGCTCTTGGCCTCGATTTGCACCCATCCCGGGACTGCCACAGGCTCTGAGCTGCACTCGGTGGGGAGACGACAGGAGCCGCAGTGGTCAGTCTCCAACAAGCCTGTTCCTTCTGGCAATCACCAGGTCCATGACACTGGCTTCTATGCACACTGGGCCGTGGCCCTTGCGGGTGTCACTTGTTCCATGCAGAGCTGGGCTTTCCATGTTGCTCACACAGCTTGGGGCCTGGATGGCCCTTGTTCAGGTATCCGTGGGTCCGTGACTCTGTAAACACCCTAATGCTGCTGTGCTTTCATAGACTTAAAAAGGAAAACAAAACACCCACTGCAAGCTGTAGAAGTTGCAGGCCCCACACAATCTGGAGCAGGCCAGGTGTTACCAGGGTGTTTCATCTCCTGAAAGCCTACATCTTCTGAGGGCGGAACACACCGAACTCCAGCCTCTCCAACAGTGAATCCCACTGTGGCATCCAGAAGGTGCCATCGACAAATAAAAACAGAACCAAATTTAACTGAAGTTACCACCACCCAGCAAACCTCATTTCTTGATTTCTGTTGCTAATCAACTCTATTGATTCTATTGAGTGTATGGGGGTAACTTGTCAGCCCTGCAGGGCAGTTGTTCTCCCTGCCTTCTAGAACAGTTTTAAAATGCTGAGCTAAAGCAGAGGACGCCCACTTAGCAAACAGGGGTCCTGTGGGATCTGCTGAGGGGCTTTTGGCAGAGTGGCCGGCCCGATATGACTGCTCACTAAAGGTAGCTGTTCAGGAGCTTTGTTTGGGTGTTTGCTGTCCAAAATCCACAGCACCCTCACCAGCAGCCAGACTCAAGGCTGAGACAGGTTTCCCTGGATGTGGGAGATGAGGCCTCGCGGACCAGCCACCTCAAGCCCAGTACGTTGTCAACCACCCCCCAGACAGCGGCCTCCGGGCCTGGGGGGTTCACGGCCATGGTGAGACAACCAGGCGCCAGAGGAGCTTGGAGTCGGGAGGGCACTTGAGGTGGGCTTAGCAGGTGTTTCTGGAGCACCTGCTGCGTGCTAAGGGGTGGGGCTTAGGACACAGCACTCCCCAAACATTCCACGTCTGTGTCTTGGAAACAGAAGAGGGTCTGCCGTCTGACCCCACTCTCCTCCGGCATCCCTCTTCCTGGAGCAGGTCAATCCAAGGAGGGGCTTCCCTGCTCCTGCCCCAGGCCCCGAGACCCTCACTGGAGAGGCGCCTCCCTCCCACCTCTGGGAGTGTGAGCACACAGGCCTGGCTGCCCCGGCCCCCGTTCTTACCATCCCTCTACGCCCTGTCCACTCCTGTCCACACGACTGTCCACCTCCACAGTGTGAAACGCGGCGTTAACTGTTTCTTGTCTGCGTTTCCCAGTGGAAGCTCCGGCATTAGGTGCTACTTCATTTTGGACACTTTTCCCTTGTTAATCTGCCTTTAGTTACAGGAGCCTCGACCTTGACCCAAGGATGGCCAGGAGGATCCCACTTAGGCTCAGCGCAGCGGGCCCTCATGCACTCTGGCTCCTTTGTGTGCCCGGTGTGGAAACTCAGGCCTCGCGGAAGTGGTGGTTCACTCCAAGTCCCGCGCCGGGAGCTGAGTTGTGGCATCACCCTCATTAGCTGCTCAAGGGCCTCGGTTTTCACAGGAGGGGTGCTGGCTACAAGGTGGGCCTGCAGAGGCTCCAGTTTCTGTGTCTTTGCCCACATTCTGAGTGCAGTGAAATAGTTGCTAATTAAAACGCGCGGCACTCATAGGGGCTGTAAAGCAGTTTGTAACGGTAATGCTCCCTCTGAAACCAGCCGTTACCATCCCACATTGACTCTTTGTTCAGCCATTAACAATAAACCAGCCATGGGTTGCTTTTCAAACACCATTAAGCTTACAAGGCCGAGCTCTGTAATGAGTGCCGGGCTGCGGAGAAGAGCCACAGAGGACTTGTGCCCATCCTGAGGGTCACAGGATCCCTGGGGGGACCCTTCTAATTCTCAAGTTTGGCCCTAGAAGGTAGGCAGTAGCTCTGATCCCTGAGTGTCCCCCTAATCTGCAGGCGGGGACCTCACCTTCAAGGAAAGTCACACCCTGGGGACAGACACACCTCTCTCTGAGCCTCAGTTTCCCCCTGAGGTCACAGGATACCTACCTGATGAGGTCCGTGGAGAACCAAGTGCAGGGACTCGGGGTCCCTCTGCCGAGCTAGCAGCCCCACGGGTGTTGGCGGTGAGACCCCAGAGGAGCTGTGTTCTTCATGAAACCCACAAAGCCCAGCGATTCTGCTTTGGCCACCATTGGTCTGGATCTACTGCAGAGGAGGCATCTGTGTTCTCCAGAAGTTGGAATTTTGGGATCTTTAAAGGAACAAGGTCTAATTTCTGAGTATTTTCAAATGTGTAGGACACCACGAGTTAACCACCACAATGCTTTTCATGGTGAAATCTCACTGAGCTGACTTCCTGCCGGTTGCTAACAGCTCCTGTCAGTAGCAGTCAGTGGTGTTTTTATGTGGGGACCTCGGCTCCAACTTCCTTTGCAGGCCCGGGAAATGGGGTCAGGACAGCCCCCCCAGGCTCCTGGGAAGTGGGCAGGTGAGGTGCTTGGTGTGGGGCACACGGAGGCCTCGGCATGGCCTGTTCCTTAATTTGTAACAAAATTCCTCACGTTTAATTCCTGCGTTCTTTTTCTGGGTGCTCAACCACTGAGCCATGTCCCCAGCCCTTTTTATTTTTCATTTGGAGACAGGGTCTTGCTGAGTTGCTTAGGACCTTCCTAAATTGCTGAAGCTGGCTTTGAACTCACGATCCTCCTGCCTGGGCCTCCTGAGCCGCTGGGATCACAGGTGTGTGCCATCATCATGCCTGGCAATAACTGTGTTCTTTGAAGCACCTTCTGAAGTGCACTTCTTTTTCTACTTTGTCTGCCTATATTTACGGGTAGCCCAGGGTGCACTTCTGCCTAGGCCGGCTGGATTAAGTTCCACCTGACTTTTCGGAGGTGTGAAGTGGTGTGGGAGTTTGGTGGAAAGGGTCCTCCCGTGGGAGTCGGGACAGCTTGTTTCTCACCCCAGTTCAGAGGTGCACAGGGCCAGGGCACTAGCGTCCTGGCCTGTGTCTTACATCCCAGGATGACATGCAAGGTGAACTGGATGATCATCCAGAGCCGGTCCAGAGCCGAATCTGTGCGGCAGGACACCATCTGACCCCCATGCCCCGCCCACCCTCCACCACCAACCCACAGCGCCAGCCACAGCCAGACCCTCCTCCCCTCCCCGACAGTCCGCCCAGGAGTGAGGCTGTGTTACCTTTTGCTTTTTCTCCAGTTTAATGGCTTTCTGGGTGGCCTTTTGCTCCTGCACCCACAGCTGCTGGTACCGGTGCTGCAGCAGATCAAAGAAGGGTGTAGAAGGCCTAGGGGGGAAGTCCAGACAGGGACTGAGCCTGGGAAGAGGCCCCACCCTCTCCCCCCATCACACTGGGCCTCACTGTCACTGTCACAGGCTGCAGAGCAAAGGGGTCCTCAGGCTGCACGGGGCCTCTCGGTAGTTGACATCCCTGAGGATTTGCCAGGAAGGCCCTGGCCAAGCCTCTCCTCCACCAGCCCTAGGCAGGCCTCTCTAGAGCCCCCTTCCTCTAGGCCTGCTCAGGCCAGTCGAGTTCTGGAACCCTGCTGAGTTGTCCCTCCACCCTGACCATCTGATTTCTGTGGAGAGCTGATGAAGTTCCTCACCCCGCCTGACGTCTGGCCTCCACCTCCGTGTCCAGGGACCCTGAGACCTCCCCTTGATGTCTCCTTTCCTCATTCTCACCCACTGACCCTCCTCACTGGCAGTCTGCCACCTGCGCTGTATTTGGAGTGGAGCTCAGTTCTGCCCAGGAATCTCCCCTCTGCACCAAGCACTGGATCAAACCCGCCTTCACCACTCTTGGCCGGTGTCTGGCTCTGATTTTCTTGGACTGATTTCCAGCCGGGAAGCACTGGTCCTGTGCTGAGCATTTTGTGTGGCCCCTTCCCAACACTGCAACACACTTGTGCCCATCCTGGGGACAAAGGGGAGGGTGAGGTCCCAGAACACAGGGGGTGGTACTGCAAGTCGCCGGCCCAGCTGCCAGGCTTGGTGGCCACAGGCTTCATGTCCTCAGGGGGGAAACTAAGTGCCAATCTCTACGCAGATGGAGAGACTGAACCCACAACCAGAATCCCACCCTCACTCCGAAGCAACCTGCCCAGGAAGCAAGGCCATCTCCTACAGTGACCAACCCGGGGACCAGCCGGTCACCTCCAGCAGCCCCCCGGGGAGCCAGCTGTGGTGCTGTAGGAGGTGAGCCTGCTCTGTGCAACGGAAGTGCTAACAGTAACCCCCACCCATCACCCCACGTGCCAGGACCTGACTACCAACCGCCAGCTTCCCTGGTCTCGTCCCCGCTTTGAATTTAGGGTCAGTCAGAGAAAGCTAGATATGTACCTTAATAAATTACATGGGATGCCACGTACATGTTGACCTATGTAGCATATGTACTACTGTACATATAATGTTGTACATATGACTTATAATGCTTATAATTCTATGCTTACACATTACATGATGACCACACATCATATGTACGATGCATATATAAATATGACACATGTGTATATGTTTATTTTCCAAAGGAAAAAAAATGAAAGATAAACCAAATCTTACTATCAAAATGTGGGGTGAGGGAGCTCTAAATAGACTGCAATGGATCTTACTGTGGAGCATGGGAAACGTGCTTTTATAAAGACAATAGTTGTGACAGAATAAAGTGAAGATGAAAGATCAGCACCTGCTTTAAATGACAGCAGGAAGCAATGGACCTGTTTGTCAGAATCATCGCAAGCAGTTTCAAAAGAGATTCGGGCAGAATCTGTCTCACGGGGGAGCCTGGGGACGAGGAGAACCCAGGGAAGGCCAAAGCTGCTCCCATCGCTGAGGAGGTCATTTTGAAACCGCCACGTTTACATCGAAGGACAAAGCAGATCAGTAATTGTACAAACGCCATTAGAAAGCAAGGTTTCTCAGTATTAGAGAGAAGAAGTACAAGGATAAAGTCAGAGAGGTGAGAGAACTCGTCAGTCTTCCTCCTCTGCCCACTGAGAGGGGGGTCTAGAAGTCCCAGCCCAGCAGCCTGGGCCTGGCCCTGCTCTCCCTGCCAAGGAGCAGGCCGGCTGGGAAGCGCCATCCCCAGTGCTCCCGAGGTGCAGGGCCAGAGGCGGGGGGCCCTGAGGCCATCAGAGGACAGGCAATAGATCTCAAGGGCCAGATGGATGGGCCCAGAGGTGGGGCAGGCTGCCTGGGGATGCTTCGCCGAGGACAGGGAGAAGCGCCCCCTGCCTTTCCTGGGCAGACCGCGTAGCAGGGAACAGCGGGAATGCGGGGGGGTTCTGTGCAGCAGACCAAGGCTCCTGCCCACAGGGGGAATGGCCGATTGGTGGGAAGTCACAGTTAGCTTCTCCTGGTGAAATGGTCACAGGCTGTGGATAGGAACTGAGCTGCAGTGAGCAGGAGCATGCCCCGTGCCCTGGTCCTCGTCTTACGTTTTCATGTCTCAGTCAAAAAAATGTTTTCAAGATATCTAGCAGCAGGGGTGGTGGCGCACGCCTGTGATCCCAGTGGACCTGGAGGCTGAGGCAGGAGGATCACAAGTTCAAAGCCAGTTTCAGCAACTTAGTGAGACCCTGTCTCAAAATAAAATAGAAAAGCCCGGAGGGGCTGGAGTTGCGGCTCCGTGGTGTGGCACTTGCCTGGCACGTGTGAGGCCCTGGGTTCCATCCTCAGCACCGCATATACATAAACACAATAAAAGCCCATTGACAACTAATAAAAAGTATTGAAAAGAAAGAAAAGGGCTAGAGACCTAGTCCAGTGGTGGTTAAGTGCCCCTGGGTTCAATCCCTGGCATCAAAAAAATAAAAAAGATACCTAGTGATCCTTAGATTAGGTTGGAAGAGACAAGAGCAATAAAACATTTTATTACTCCAAGAGAATAATGATAAAAGAGATAGTGGGTCTAGCTAATGTCCCTCTGGTCACTAAAATGACCAGTGGAAGGAAGGCTGGTGGAAATGTCACATGGGTGGTCAGTGGAACAGGACCACCAGCGTCATCATCATTTTTTTTTTATTGTGACACATTATACAAGACAAAAATCCCCCAAGGGACGGAGCCAACTGACGGGGCCCAGCAGAGGTTGTGCTGGAAGCCACCCCTGGGTGGCCTGGTCTATTCCACACCTGACTGGCCCCTCCCCGTGCTCGGGTGTGTGGCGCCAGGGACAGATGCAGAGCTGGAGGGGACCCTCGGTACCCACCCCGCTTGCCCGCCCGCTGTGCCTTGGCAAGTCTCCCCGACGTGAGGGTCTCCTTGGGCCTGGGCCGAGCTGGATCTCTCTGAGCAGAGGCTCAGAAACCTTGAAAAGCTGGGCTCCCCTCCCCCAGCAGCCTGTGAGCATCTACAAACAGTGGCTCTTTGTTTTCTGGCTCCTTTACCCCTGTGGTGACTTTTATTACTTAATTATTACACACCCCATGCTTCTGAGCAGCCTAATTTATAGCTGTGCTTTCTAATGACACTGGAGCGTGATCTCAAAATATCCACCCCCAGAGGCCGTTCAGCCCGAGGAGCTGTCTTCCCGCCACCCGGCTGCATCCGTCACAGCCGGCCCTGGCAGCCTCTGCCGCTCGCTGACCGCCTTTGTGTCCTCTCCGGCCAGGGGCTTTTATTACTGTGAACGGGTTGGGAGGAGCTGGAGATGCTGTGAGTCACGGTGGCTCTTGGATAAGCAGGCGAGAGGCTGGCCTGACGCAGGGAACCCAGACGCAGCCACACTGAGACTCCCTCGGGGCTCAGCTCCACAGACCAGACCCAGAGGCACCGCAGGACCCAGCCACCCCTCTGACCCCGTCCCCAGGCCCTTCCCCCTGGCCCAGGCACCCCCTTGGCCTGGATCCTCTTCCTCCTGCTGGGCAGGTGCTTGGCTTCCCCTTTGCTCTCAGGACTCAGCCGACCTCAGGGATCAGCTCCTCGGAGCTCGTCCCTCATCCAGCTCATCCTACAACTGGCCTCACCAAGTGCCCTCCGTGGACGCGTCTTGCTCCCACAGCGTTTGGTCTTGGCCGTGGGATGCCCATGGCTCTATGTGGTGTGGACTCACCGTGCCCCTCTCCATAATCGTGTGTGTTGAAAGGAGTGGTTCAAATGAGTTATCATGAATTAAAGGAAGCCAATGGCTTTTACAGTTCAATCAAGGAATGGTGGTCTTCTTAACAAATGGGGCTGGAGCACTGGGCGTCTTACGTTAAAAAAAAAAATTTTTTTTTTTTTTTTTTTTTTTAAAAAAAAGGGTGCCGTGGCCACGCCTGTAATCCCAGCGACTCGGGAGGCTGAGACAGGAGGATTGTGAGCTCAAAGCCAGCCTCATCCATGGTGAGCTGCTAAGCAACTCAGTGAGACCCTAAATAGAATACAAAATAAGGCTGGGGATGTGGCTCCGTGGTCAAGGGCTTCTGAGCTCCATCCCCAGTATCCCCCACCGCCCCCCAAAAAAGCCAAAGCAAAAAAGTTCATTACGTCTCACACCTTATATGAGAATTCATTCAAAAGGATCCCAGGTTCAACTCTAAGATGTAAAACGGTACGACATTCACATGATCTTGCAGGACGAAGTCTTTGGGACCTACAGCTAGGAGAAGAGTTTCTTAGACTTGAGGCTAAAAACAGGACCTGTGGGAGAAGAGGCTGATAAGTTCCTCAAAACAAAACGGTGTGTGAGCAACCCCCTAACCACGGGAGGCAAGCTGCAGGCTGAGAGAGGCACCTGCCCACCACGAGCCTGGCAAAGGAGCCCGTCTGGGACTCCCAAAACTCAGCAGGAGGCCCAGCTATAAAATGGGTGAAGCCCTGGGGGACCCCCGGGAGGACACAGGGATGGCAAAGGTGCGTGAGGAGATGGCACCAGCGCCTCTGGCCACGGGAGAAATGCCAACGAGACCATGACCACACGCCACCACGCACCTGCCAGTGTGTGTGAGACACTGAACAGTGACCCCGCCAGCTGCTGACGGGGACCCAGAGAAACAACACCTCTCGCGCACCACTGCCGAGGGTGTCAACAGCACGACTCCTCTGGCCGAGAGTTCAGCAGTTTCCTTAAAAACGAATGTACACTGACCATACACCCAGCAGCTGTCCTCCTGGCCATTTATTTCAGAGAAATTCAAACTTAGGTCTAGACAGGGACATATAGTTACACATGTCATAGTAGCTTTATTTGTAGTAGATACAAACTGGAATAACCAAAATGCCCTTCAGCAAGTAAATGGTTAAACAGACTATGGTACGTCCATGCCGCAGAGCAGTACTCAGCAATGAAAAGGAACCAACTCCCGA